CCTCTCCTCCTAACGTGTGCTTATTTGAGTTGGTGTGTCTCCCTTGAACCTTGACCACACAGGTCTGAGTCCTTATTTTGGCACCTGTGTTTATGTTTACGTGTGGGCAGGAGGCAGCAAATAAGGAACTGATGAAACCTGGCCCCAGATTATGCTAATTCCACTTTTATTTTAGAGTATACACCTGGCCATTAGTATAACACCTCTAGGAATTATTATTATTATTATTATTATTATTATTGCTTTTTGGTGCGGCAATCAGGGTTAAGTGACTTGCCTAGGGTCATACAGCTAGTAAGTGTCAAGTGTTTGAGGTGACATTTGAACTCAGGTCCTCCTGACTCCAAGGCCGGAGCTCTATCCACTGCACCACCTAGCTGCCCCTGGAAGAATTCTTATAAAAAGGATTTTGGGGAAAGACCTCTCATCTGGTCACTATACTTGTTGGATGATAAATGGAGTAAGAGGAAAACCTTTTGCCTGTAGCTCCCATCTCTCTTCCATATACACTACCTTCTTCTTCCTTTGGGTAAAAGAGAGTCAGAAGAGCCCACACTGGAAATGAAAAGCCGGGACATCCAAGATGTCCAAGGTGTCTTGTGTGTATGCTCTCCTCCCATTTTACAGCTGAAGAGACTGAGGCCTCAACAGGTTAAATAACTTGCCCGGCGTCACACCAGTAGTAATGGCATAAGTGCTTAAACTTCTCTCCAGATTATCATGAGAATAAAACATAAAAATGCACACTCCTGAAAGAACTAAGTATATCAAGTCTGGGAAGGAGCTGTAACAAAAAGGACAAGCCACCTAGTAAAATTTCTAAGGACCAGAGTGACCCAGGTGGCCCGTGGCACTATGGACGTGTCAAAAGAAGGGACTGTGGAGAAGATGGGAATCTCGGCACTCTTTTTGGAGGGGGGGAGGTCTAGTTTAAACTTCTGCCAGCAAATAGTGCAAATAAATCAAAACAGTAGATAATCCAAATGACATTTCTATTTTGCTTTGGAATGCATTAATGTTTCATTTGAATTAGAAGCAGATTTAGCTTCTAATTATATTTTAATTAAGCTAATATTAAAATTTGCATTCCCACAGCACACAGTGATGGTGGGCAGGAAACCAGCACAGACATATGCTGGATTACAGCAGAAGGCAGCCTAATGAAAATATGAAAAATTTGCTATGGGTTATTCACCTAGTGGCTAATCTTGTCTATGTATAATTACTTCCTCCATTAAGGGTACAAGGAGTATTAAGTTGAACACTATAATGGATCAACATTTTTCCATATGGCTTAAATGTAAGGATGAACCATTCTGATTATTTAAATGAAGAATTTACAGAACTGAAATTAAACAAATATCGTATGTATATGTTCACTAAACAAAACACTATAATAATAAGATAATTTAGGTAAATAGTGTCATCTATGGCTTCTTGGAGTAAGGTTTCACTATAATACCTAGCAACATAAATATTTGCTTGTTTTTAATATTTTATTGATGCCTTAAAAAAATGACTGTCTTTTCCCAATACTACCTGACAACGAAATCCTCCCTTTTAACAGAGTACAGCAAAGTACACTGACCATGTCTGACAGCACACGTATGCTTTCTCCCACTCAAAGTCCATCACCTCTCTACAGAGAAGAGAGATATTTTCCTCATCAGTCCTCTGCAGCCAAGACTAAAAACTGTACTTATCTAAATTTTGATGCCTTTTAATGTTGTTTTCCTTTCCTTTCCCATAACAGATCAAAAGAGTTTAGTCTGATTATCATCCACACTGAAAAGACAAAGTGGATGTAAATGTCTATCACCCAGAATGTGACATGAATTTGGGTGGGCACTCAATAGAGCTTTTCTATCAGCATGTATATCTGGGTCAGATGATTCAAATGGACAATGGGTTGAAACGAGAATGCCTAGCAGGAGGAAAGTTGAGATATTGCCTTCTAGAAATTGCAAAGCTCCTTTAATGACCTCAAAGTACCAATGGAAACAAAGGCTCATCTCTTTAATACCAACAGTCTACTTGTTTTGCTACAAAGCATTGAGAATTGGTATATGACAATTTCCAGAGAATTAAAAATAACCATCTCACAGAAGACAATGGAGAGGAACATGGCGGGTGCTAGCAAGTCGCAATATAGAACCAATGAAGAGCTTCAAAGAAGAAAAGGAGCAAAAAATGTCATCAAAAATGCATGATAGACTGTCAATTGGTGAGGGCAAAGGGATGACAGGCAGAAAAGCAGAGCACTCCACTGGGGTCTTGCAATGTTAGGAAAAAGTGAGGAAAGCTTCCAACATGTTGTGTAGATCCTATGTGGCAAATTTATGAGAGGACATGGATAAGAGTTACACAGGATGTGCACGGATCTGTGAGTTCTGCGTCGTTGGAGGGAACTTCCACATTAGTGAAGTCATAGATGATCCATTTGGGTATTTGAGTATGGAACAATAATACTCTGTTACCACATGTCAGAATGTTTCATCATCCCTCAATAGATGGACACTTGCTTTGTTTCCAAGTTTCTGCTACCACAAAAGTTTATGTGTACTGATATGAATATTTATGGAACCTTGCCTTGTATTTCACTGAAAAAATTGAGGTCATTCCCTAAGAACTCCCTCTTTTCCCCTCTTCCTCACTATCTCTTCCTTCACCCTTGGCTCATACAACGAGGTGATCCTTCTTTTCAAGGCATACCCTTCTATCTGCACAACCTCCTTTCTGTCTTCTGTAGCCAACTGTCCTCTTTATCATCCCCTCTCTCACTTATCTTCAACCTCTCTTTGTCTACTGGCTGCTTTCCTGCTGCCAACAAACATGTGTGTGTCCCCTCTATCCTAAAAAAACCTTCACTTGATCCCTCCATCCCTGCTAGCTATTTTCCCATATCTTTCCTCTTTTTTGTGTGTGGCTAAACTCTCTGAGAAGGCTGTCTACAATAGGTGTCTCCATTTCCTTTCCTCTCATTATTTTCTTCACTCTGTGTAGTATGGCTTCCAACTTCAACATTCAACTAAAAATGCTCTCTCCAAAACTACCGATAATCTCTTACTTTCCAAGTCTACTGGGCTTTTCTCAGTCCTCTGAAGCTTCTGCCACTGCTGATCATTTCCTTCTCCTCTAGTTTCTGAGACGCTGTCCTCTCCTGATTCTCCTCCTACTTGTTTGACCACTCCTTCTTCATGCAGGTGGTACCCACTAATCTTGAGTGTCCCACAAGGCTCTGTCCTGGGCCCTCTTTCCTTCTTCCTCTATGCTATTTCACTTGATGATCTCATCGGCTCACTCATTGAATCATCAGATTCAATTATAATTGCTAGATTCTCAAATCTACTTATCCTGCTCTAACTTCTCTGCATCTCCAGTTGCCTATTGGATAGCTCAACCTGGATGTCTGATCAGCATATTTAATTCAACATATGCAAACCTGAACTCATTATTGTCTTCCTCAAACCCTTCCCTCTTCTAAATTCCCTATTACTAATCACCATCCTCCCATTCACCCAGGCCTGCAACCTAGGAGTCATGCTTGACTCCTTTCTCTCACCCCTTGCATCCAATCAGTTGCCAACTTCCATTGATTCTACCTCGTAATGTGTCTAATGTATGTTCCCTTCTCTCCTCTGACACTGCCCCTGCTCTGGTGTCTCATCTCATGGCCCTCATCACCTCAAATCTCTCCCCACACCAGTCCACCCTCACTCAGCTACCAAAGTGATCTTCCTAGAGCACAGGGCTCACCACGGGGTTCCCTGTTCTCTACCTCCTATCTCCCATTTTGTAAACTCCAGCAGCTACCAAGAACAAATATAAAACCTGCTCTTTGGCTTTTAAAGACCTTTCTAGTCGGGTCCTGTCTAACTTTCCAGTCTTCTTACATCTTAACTCCCTTCACATACTCTGATCCCCTGACACTGACACCCTTGCTATTCGGTGCATAAGACCCCCCCCCCCCCCCCCCATCTCCAAACTCTCTCATGCCTGGATCTCTCTCCCACCTTATCTGTCTCCTGGCTTTCCTCAAACCTCAGCTAAAAACCCACTTTCTGCATGAGGTGTCTTCTGATCTCCCTTAATGTTAGTGACTTTTCTTGAGATTATCTCCAATTTATTGTGTATATGTATATATATGTACAATATGTATATATACATGTATATTTATACTTATTATCTGTACAAAGCTATTTTCATTATGCACGTGTTGTTTTCTCCATTAGATTTTGAACCCCTTGAGGCAGGGATGTTTTTGTTTTTCTTTGTATTGCCAGCAATTAGGACAGGGCCTGGCAAACAGGAGATGCTTAATAAATGCTTGTTGACTTGCGTTGCCTAGCCTAGATAGGGGCCTTTTCCCTCCATCTTTGACCTCTCTGGGGTCTGTGCCCAGCAGGGATTTTGCTATGTCAGTGGACATAAAACACTGAGTAACTTCAATAAGTGTTTGTTGATGGATAAATGAATAAATAAACTTGATGTAGCTTTTAGAATTAATCCCTTCAGAAAAACAGAAAAAGAAGAACACTACACACTGTTTAATGTTTTTACTTATTACTCAGTATTACATTTTGACATTCAATCAGAAATGTATTATTTCAAATCTACTGAGTAAAGGCACATGAATCACACTGCTGAACAATCCATAAAATCCCAGGCAGTACATGTGAACTACCACTACCTGTGACATTGGATATCACCTTTTCTCTTACTTCCATAAATATGAGCATAAATTGAAAAAAACGGTTGTAATCAAAATTCTATCAAATCCAAATTAATCACCAAATAATTCTCTCTAAGTACTATGTAATTATTAACTTCCTAAAATAAAGCCATCATAAAATTAATTTTAAAAGGTTAAATTTTAAAATGGAAAGATAAAACAGTTAAATCCTTCACAATGAAGGTAATAAAACTGCTAAATTTTTGAGAAAAATCTGAACCATGAACTAATTATTTTTAAGATATCTCAATCTATTCTCACCCCTTATGATACCAATATAATACACGCAGCATCTTGTTTGCTTCTTTTAGAAAATCCCATCAAATATCCCAAGAAAAGCCTTCATTTCATCCTCTTCATCACCAGAATGACGTGCACTGAGAAAAGAACAGAGCTGGGGGTAAGCTTCTCATCACCCAAGGGATTTAAATAACTGGGCCCTAATAAACATGTTACTGATAATCTCAGCAAGTTCTGTGAGGTTAATTCCTCAAGTGAGCTTTAAAGTGCATCTTCTGACTTTATTTATTTGCCGTGCACAGGGGAATCACAACTTCTCTGTCACTTGCCATCTCCCCAAACCGCCAGGAACCCTGGGAGGCTGAGTGACTCCTTAATAGAACACATGATCAATCAGAGGCCCTACTTGAATCCAGAGATTTCCTGAGGGGAAAGACTGCTTTGGTTTTGGTGTTTTTTTTCCTATCCCCCAGAATATAGCACAGTGCCTGGCACACAGTGGGCATTTATATGCAAATGGAACTGAATTCCTGACTCCAAGGCTGGCCCTCCATCCACTATGCTATGTTGTCTCTACAGAAAGTTAGGGAAGGGGCAACTAGGTGGCGCAGTGGATAGAGCTCCGGCCTTGGAGTCAGGAGGACCTGAGTTCAAACCTGACCTCAGACACTTGACACTAGCTGTGACCCCAGGCAAGTCACTTAACCTCAATTGCCTCACCAAAAAACAAACAAACAAAAGTTGGGGAAAATAAAGACATATCAATACCTAAAAGTAGTCAATGGTGAAATCAAGGATTATATGTTGGGTGACCATGCTGTTAATTAATGATACACGTTTTGTAACAGCTTGTCTTTAATAATACAAACATTTAGTAATAATATAAACAGGTCTTAACAAGTCATTAGCTTTTGGCTACTAATAGAAGTAGAAACTATTAAGGAAAGTTATCCTATCATATGGAAGAATAAAAATAGTGATATCTTCAATGAAGCATTTACTGGGTGAGATTAACTTAATTCTTCAGAATACTATTTTGCTTTGAAAGACGTATAATAACCGAACAATTGATTAAAAGGCATCCTCTGAAAGATTAAATAATCTCAAATGAACTTTCCTGTTCAAATTCAGAAAAAACATGAACAATTCTGCCAGTTAGACTTTTTAAGTATATAAAAGCAAATATCCAGGCACTCTCAACTGTACAGTTATTTGGTGCTGTGTATTCATGCCCTCAAAGAGCATTTACTCAATATTACTCATTAAAGGGCACAAAACTTGAACCTTTAAAGCAAATCACTGATTCTGATTTTAGTCTAGAACAGAGGTTCTTAACTTTAGCAGTCTGGTGAAGACTAGGGACCCCTTCTTAGAATAATGTTTTTAAAACTGTAAGATAAAATTCATAGGATTACAAAAGAAACTAATTTTATTTAAATAAGGATATAATTTTTTTTTTGCTTTTTTGGTGAGGCAATCAGGATATAATTTTTTTTATCCAAGTTCACAGACCCATTGAAATCTATTCACAGACCCCATGGGGAAGGAGAGATCCATGCAACCCAGGTTAAGAACCCCTGGCCTAAATATGAACCTAAAACCTAGGTTAAAAAAAGTATTGGATTTGTTTATAATGATATTTTTACTGGTAAAATCTTGAAGTTCCTTACCTGAGATCAGTTACTTTTTTACTATCATTGCTACTAACAAAAAAGTCCCATTTCTTATTGGAATGAGAAGTATTTGATTCTTTCTCCAACCAAACGGTAGGTAGCACCCGTTCTATTTCTGGTGAAAGATTCTGATGTTGTCCTTCTTGAAAATGAATCTAGGAATAGAGGTTTAAAATAAAAATTATTGACATCAACTAATCATACTTTAAGTAAGGACATTCAGAAAAACAAATAAACATATCCCTGGAGTCCACTATAATGATGTTTTCTAAATTCATGATAAGAAACCACTTGACAGGTGGACCCAACCTATGAGAAGATCTTTTTGGTCCTTTAGATAGAGTACATACTATTTATATTGAATTTTAGGCTGTGTCATCAAAAAGGTCTAGGGTAGATTTTCCCAAAATTAAATCTGGCCATACAAATAGACAGAATTTTAGTAGTACCAACAGTAATTTTATCAAACAATTAAAGTATCATTCAACTACTGAAAGCAGTTGTCCACTGACATAAGATATTTGGCTAAAACACTATCAATTTTTTATAAATAAAAAGGCCTAATCTTAAAATCTTATCATATCAAATTATTAAAAACTGACTAGAGGCCACAACAATATCAAATCAAATTTCCTAAAGTGGAAACATAAATACCAATCTAAATCAGCACTCTTTTTAAACTTGAAGATATTATAAAGACAACATTTTATGTCATTTTTAATGAGAATTTGTATACACTATAAGCACAGTATTCTTTTTATCATAAAATTAAAATCCTGAGACAAAGCCCATACATCACAACACATTCATTTCTATATCACCAATCTACATTACCAGCCAACAGAGAATTGTGATTTTTAGCCAGAGTGAAATGGGAAAATGTGGGCAGTGATAAAGCTCTTGTTGAATCAGACTGCCTTTAAGTATCATTAAATAAAGAAAATTTCTAGGTAAGAGATTTGATTTTGTATATACTTTATAGATATTTATTTAAAGAATGAAAATTCTACTCTAAGATCTATATCAGTGGAAGTGTTCACTCATAGATCTACCCAGATGGAAATGCAGTTAACAAAGAAAACTCCCAAATGCAGCAAAGAGGGATCAAGCTGGCTAATGTCGGAGAACTGCTACTAATACATAACTTTGGGCTGGTGGTGATATGGGCGCTGGTGTAGAGACAATAGCCTAAGTTTCTGTTTTTTATGCTAGAGGCAGCATGGCCAGTGGAGAGAGAGACGGCCCTAGAGTCAGGACAACCTACTATTTAGAACTAGACACAACCAGTGTCGTCTTTGACATACACAGGCTGTGCGACCCTTCACTTCTCAGAGTACTCAGGCCCTTCTCTAAAATTACAAATTGGTGAGTAGTGGATGATCTGCACTGGCAGAGGGAATTCCTTACCAGGAGCTTTAACACAAATGAAATCACAGAGGAAGTTTTAAAAGTTTCTATTTTTTTTCTACCCTTCGATTGTTTTATAGGTAATTTAGTAAGGCTCTCTGAATATTTCACTGACACCACAATCCAGTCACTAATTCTCATCACATATTCATATGGTAAAATGTCTGGCTTATTGATGTCATTTTTTTCACATCTACAAGAATGAGGATTCATTTTTGAATCAGGCTATGATTTTTAATATTACTTGTGTCTAGTCAAATGATTATCTGTATTTTTCCCCTTTCACAAAATGATCACATCTTAGTGAGGAATACATGTATTTGTAATAGCAAATTTTTAAGGCTGAAAAATGACATAAAACTCCACAAACCAGTTTTCTTACAGTATTTGTGTTTCCAGGCTGTTGAGGCACTTTGGAGGACATGTGAAACTCTGAAATGATGGAATCTTGGAAATGAACATCTGAGCTCTCAGGTGACAGGCAAAATCTAAAAATTAAAATAAATATTTTGTAACCAAGGAAAGAAATACATAATCATTGGGTTAATAGTAAACTTTGGAGAATTTTATCAAATTCATCATATTAGCTGCACAAACAAAGGCATCATATTTCACTTTATTTATTCTGATTTATAGTTACATAGAGACCATAAGAGCTCATTTTTATTGGTATCCTTTCTTTCAGGTGAATTATATTCAATGCACCCCAAGGAGTTTAGTATTCTTATATTTGAAGACTGCAAAAAATGGACATTTCATAGCTTCCTTCAGTCACTTACATAATTCACAATTATTTTTATTTCAAGAAGTTCTTATATCTGTCATTCATTCAACAAGCACATATTAAGGCCTACTGTGGCCAAGCACTGTGCTGAATTTAGGGAATAGAACGACAAAAACAAAACAGTCCTTGCTTTCAAGAAACAACCTATTTAACTCCTTCCTTTCTAATTCTCATTGGCAGAGGGAACTCCAGGTGAGCAAACTCCTTATACCATTGCAGGCTGGCACCTTCTCTACAACTTCTAGTCCTAAAGAGTCACCTAGAGAACTGAGAGGCTAAGTGACTTGCCCAGGATCCCACAATGGGTATATGTCAGAAGTGGGACTTGAGCCCAAGTCTTCCTGCTTTCAAGGCCAGACCTTTATCCTCTTCACCATGCTGCTTCCCATTGGACTTCATCTCTACAAAACATTTTGAAAGTCTTAAAGTGTTACTTAAATTTTAACTGTTACTATAATCACTGCTATTTTTGCTTTGTCTGAGATTGGGATAGCCATCCCCGTCTTTTTTACATCAGCTAAAGCAAAACAGATTCTGCTCCAGCCTCTTATTTTAATTCTGTGTCTTTCTGTTTCATATGTTTCTTGAAAACAACCCATTGTCGGATTCTAGTTTCTAATCCATTCTGCTCTCTGCTTGTGTTTTATGGGTGGGTTTATCCCTTTCACATTCACAGTTATGATTACTTAACTACAACCTATTTTCTTTTGCTTATCTGCTCTCTTTTTTTACTTTGTCCCTTCTCAAGTCTCTTTTGCTTCTGACCATTGCCTCTCCTAATCCACCCCACTCTTCATCACCTTCACCCTTTCTCTAAACCCCTTCTCCTTCTCCTTGCCTGTTGGATAATGTGAATTTTTATACCCAATAGAGTGTGTGTATATATATTCTTCCTTCTTTGAACCAGTTCAGATAAGAGTGAGGTTCAAGCATTGCCCACCTCTCCTCCTATTTCCCCCTCCATTATCAAAACTCTTTCTTAAGTGCCTCTTTTATGTGACATAATTTTCCCATTCTCCTTCTCCCTTTCCCCTTCTCCCAGTATACCCCTCTTTCTCATTCTTTCATTTTTTTTGAGATTATCCTAACAAAACAGATTCATATCCTTGCCCTCTGTCAAAGTAGACTTCTAATTACCCTAATGATGATAAAGTCCTTGGGGGTTATACATATCATCTTCCCATTTTAACAGTTTAACCTTATTAAGTTCCTCATAATTTCTTACTTACATTTACCTTTTATGCCTCTCTTGAATCTTGTGTTTAATGTCAAATTTTCTATTCAGTTCTAGTCTTTCCATCAGGAATGCCTCTATTTCATTAAACGTCATTAATTCATTAAAAAAACATTTTCCCCCATAGAATTATCCTCAGTTTTGCTGCGTAGGTAATTCTTGGCTCCTTTGTCTTCTAGAATATCATATTCCAAGCCCTCTCCTCCATTACTGTGGCAGCTGCTAAATCTTGTGTGATCCTGACTGTGGTTCCATGGTATTTGAATTATTTCTGGCTACTTGCAATATTTTTTCCTTGACCTGGGAGCCCTGGAACTTGGTTATAATATTTCTGAGAGTTTTCATTTTGGGATCTCTTTCAGAAGGTAATCAGTGGGTTCTTTCAATTTCTATTTTGCTCTCTGGTTCTAAGATATCCAGGCAGTTTTCCTTCATAATTTCTTGAAATGTGATGTCTAGGCTCTTTTTTTGATCATAGTCCAATAATTCTTTTTTTATCTAATAATTCTTAAATTAATTCTCCTTGTTCTATTTTCCAGGTCAGTTTTTTCCCTAATATTCCACACTTTCTTCTATTTTTTTTTCATTTTTTAAACTTTATTTTATTGTGTCTTGGTGTCTCATGGACACCAAGCTTGATTAGCTTTAATTTTTTTTGTAATTGCTTTCTTCAGTGAGGTTTTATACCTCTTTTACCAAGCTGCTCATTCTCTTTCCATGATTTTCTTGCATTGCTCTTATTTCTTTCCCTAATTTTCCCTCTACTATTCTTGTTTGATTTTTTTAAATAATTGTTTTTGTTTTGTTAAAATTCTTTCTTTAGTTCTTCTAGGAATTATTGTTAGGGTTGTATGCAATCTACATTTTTTTTCCCTTTGAGGTTTTGTTGTAGATGTTTTCATGTCATTTTCTCCTTTTGAGTTTGTATCTTGAGCTTCATTTTTGCCATAGTAGATTTTTATGGTCAGGTTCTTTTTTTGTTGTTTGCACATCTTTCTAAGCTGACTTTGAACTTTATGTCAGCATTTGGCTCTGCTCATTTTTTTGGGAGGGGGAACTTGTCTCCAGATTCATGCTTTTTCTCCCTGATGTTTTCGCAGCTAGTTCTGGGAGTCTATAAATTTTCAGTGCTTCCAAGGTGCTGTGATATGAGGAAAGGCATGGTCATTGCTCTCCTGGTCTGCATTCTGGTCCTCACCCAGGAAAGGCTCCTGCTCCCTTTAGATCACAAGTGCTTGTGTATTCTCTGCCCTGGAACTGTGCTTAGGGAATAGGGTGCTTGCTCTGTTATAATTGCAACTTGGAACTGGCTAGTGGGGAATGGGGAGTTGCTAAACTGCACCTGGCCCACACAGGGGTCCCCTATAATCTCTTTCTGATCAGGTGTCCAATCCTCTTACCACTTCTAGGCAGTGAGAGTTCCCAATAATTCTGATGCTGCTGCCACCACCACTATTGCCAAGGCCCACAGCTGATGTGTCTAATGTATTGGGCTCCCAGTCAGCCCCCACCCTAGTGTCACAGACCTCTAAAGCTGTCCATGGACTGGAAATGTGTCACCCCAACCTTTTGCTGGTTATGCAGCTCCTGCATTCTATTCAATAAGCTGTTTGGAGGGGAATGTTGGGAGAGTTCTAGAATCCTCCCTCTACTTCACCATCTTGGCTCTGCCTCACATCACCGCTATTTTTGACAGAATTTAGATCAAGAACAAGTCACTATCTGACACAATTCAGATATGACAAGTTATCTTTTATACTTAATATTCTGAGGACCATTATATAGGTAAGAAAATAAATAGTTTCTATAACTGAACAAAAGTCTTATGATTTAAGCTTATTGGACAACCTCCTCCCAATGCCTTCCTTTACAGAAAGCAGAAACTGGACTTAGCTCGTTCCACTTCACATCTGCTGCCCTGCCAGGTTTCAACTTTACACAACAAGATGCCCCCATACCAGCTATCCCCTAGTGTCTCCTCTCCCCTCTTTCCCATCTTTTCTTGCCTCTTTTTGTGTATTGTCTCCCTTTTTAGATCTATAATTTTTTTTGGGGGGGGGAGGCTAGGCAATGGGGTTAAGTGACTTGCCCAGGGTCACTCAACTAGTAAGAGTTATGTGTCTGAGGCTGACTTTGAACTCAGGTCCTCCTGAATCGAGGGCCGGTGCTCTATCCACTGCACCACCTAGCTGCCCCCATTACCTCCCTTTTTAGAGTGGAGGCTCTTTGAGGGTAGGAACTGTCTTTTTTTATTAATTGTATCTCCAGTGCTTAGCTCAGTGTCCAGCACATAGTAGGTGCCTAATAAATGTTTATTGATTGTACAGTTGCTGAAAGCATCTGCTGGACAACAGACTAGCAGATGGGAGAAGATGACATGGACCCCATTCTGTTCCCAGATAGTTTTAGTTTCTTTTTCTAGGTCTCTGTATTTTGAAAGCTTTTCATTCCAAGTAGGTTGCATATTATAAGTGTTTGGTATGGTGACAACTATTAAAAATGTTCTTAAATTTTTATGTGTCAATATCTTATGTGGGTAGTTGTGGGCAATGGTTCTACCTGTGATGATGTCTGTTTCCATTGCTGCTTTGGAATTTGTATGTTCAGTATAGGTATTTTTTTGCCTGCCATTTTATAAAGGATAACAAACTTCTCAGGTACAATTCTAACAACCTAATCATGTCTTTCTAGGTATCCTGAATGTGTTAAAATTTTGAAACCTGCAGTGATATGTTGCTCAGTTCCCATATTTTGTTGATGGAATTCAGACAAAAATGGTCCTGGGACAAATCACTATACTACTATTCTATTTTATATTTAATGTTTGGTAAACTATTGCACAGGTGAACAGAAAGACTGCTTCTTGTAATATAATAAAATGTTGAGATAAAAGCTCATCTGTAGATTCACTGATTCTTCTGAGTGGCCCCAGTAGCAAACAGGACCACAGGGATGGCATGTAGGCAGAGGTATGCTGGAGCCAGCACAAACCATTTCAAGAGAAAGAGCCGGATGTTATATTTTCAGTGTTTGCACTTATTCCTTGTAAACTGACAAACGTTACAAATAAGGGCTTGATTTGTAATTTTGTTGAATGTCTAGACTTAAGAAAGTGATGAGAGTCTTAAGAAAGAAAATGCTAATAATGCTGATTAAACTTAAAAGTGGATCACATATACGTTGGGTTTTTCCCCAGAGAGTCAGTTGTTAAGCATTTACCAGCACACTTCTGCATGTACTTCATCTTGTTCTCACATTGCTTTAATTTCTTCCAGTAGAGCTCTATATTTTGAAAGCTGTTTGTTCCATATAGCTTATAGATTATGATTATTTTACATAGCTTCTATTAAAATGTCATTATTAAATTTGTATTAATCGATATTACATTCAGATGATTGTGGGTAACGGTTCATTCAGTGCTAATGGTTTAGGAAAGTTTATTTGTTGAGTTCTCAAGGATATTTTGAAGTCGGTATTTATATTATGGAGATTTGTTGTCTACTGCTTTATGAAACATAATGATTTTCTAGCATATTAATGTAAAGGAAGCTCAGTGGAGCAGTGGATAGAATATTGGTCTTGGAGTTAGGAAAAAATGAGTTTAATCCTCCTTTAGAAACTTAATAGCTGAACAACCCTGGGAAAGTCACTTAACATCTGTCTTAACACCAGTTTCCTTGTCTGTAAAATGACAATATTTATTGTATTGCCTACTCACAGGGTGGTGAGGAAAGCACTTTATTGATTGTGAAATGTTATATTAATGTGACTATTATTATTTAGAAAATTTTATATCTTTAGCATTGTCTTTGATTACATTTCCCTCATTTGTACTTTTATGAGTTCTGAGACTATCTGTCTCTTATGTAGTTAAAACCACCTGCTTGCCTGTGATGAATGACATAATGTTCTAAGTAACTACCTTATCAAATTGTCTCAAACTCCAATTTTTCTACTGCAAGGGAGCCGGAATGGTAGTCATGTGGTTTTGGACCCATGCTGTCTTCCATATGCAGCCCTTCAAATGACAGATATCAGTGGAAATAATTTTAAGGTAATTGTTTTCAGTAATTACAGTTGATTGGCATTGGTCTACCCACACACCCTCTCTCAGCCCTTTTTAGGACCGTGAATATCCAAGACAGCTCAAGGTTTAGAGAGAATATAAGCACCTTACTAGAAGGAATTGTCTCAATCTTTGTGTTTGTATACCCGCTGCCTAGTGCTTGGCACAACGTAGGAGTTTAACAAATGCTTGTTGATTGATAGGTTCCTCCCTAGGCTATGTCAGACTCTTTAGACATTCTTCTGACGCTGGTGGAAATAGTCTGGACTAGAACTCAGGCCCCCAGTGTTTGTGATAGGGTGTCTAAGGAGAAGCACCGTTAGTGGTTGTCAGTAGATAGGTGTTTTCAGATACAGATCCTTCAGGCTGCATTTTGGGAAGGTAGATATACTATAGTGGAATGAGAGCCACACATGGAGTCAAGAAGACGTGGATTCAAATCCTGTCTCTGACAATTACTAGCTATGTGCCTCTGAGCCTCAACTGCTTTACCTGTAAAATGGAGATAATAATCACTGGATGGCCCACTTCACAACTTTCTTGTGAGACTCAAATGATACCCTGTATATAATGTGTTCTGCAAACTTTAAAGTAGTATAGAAATGCCAGTTATTATTAAGTAGGATGGTGTGATTCATCAAAGCTTCAAGCCTTTACGCTGAATGGTGCTGGGTCCCAGTGCTGATTCACACAAAGTGCTATCAACAGTTTGTGGACTGTAATGTCGAAGCCTAGGCAATCATGATCTGATAAACTGGCAAAGTGAGTACATAGTTCTGAGCCCCTGGCTGTCCTGGTACAGGAAAAAGAGACTTCTTGGAGCAGGGTGAAGAGAATCAGGATCAGAGGTTGAGACTGTGAGAGTGACCCATGTCATAGAAGGGGCTTGAATGTCAATCTTCTGCAGCTCTTCCCCCCAGCTACATCTTGCAGAGAACTGATCTTACATAAATGGAACACGTGGCCTCTCAACATGGCGCACTTCGAGAAGTGCTAGGAAGATGTCTCCACCCATTCCATGAGCTACTCATTACTTTAGATAAGTAAGTTGTTCTTTTGAAAAGCAACTGCCCCTGACGGGATATACTCAAACACCTAAGTTTGTGTTTTTCTCAATCCAATAATTCAGATCACAACTTGTCTACAAATGCCCATCCTGTGTAACTCTGGGCCATGTCCCTCCAAAAGTTCACCAAAGGAGTACACCTAGTATGCTGGAGGCTTTTGTCAAGTTCTCTCAACATTGGTAAGGTACTAGTGCACCATTCTGCCTATCTATCTTTCAATCCCTTGACCCGACCAGATGACCTGTGTGCTCTGTCTTTCTATCATCCATTTCCCTGAAGATATAATTTATTCCCATTTTTCTTTGAAGGTCCTCATTGCTTACATGTTACAGCCTATTCATACTTTCTGTGCAACTCTTCACAGACCAATGTATGATATTCATTTTTAATTCTTTAGAGTCAATTATATTCCATGTATTGATTCCATATAGCAACACAGACGGCATGTTGACAAAAAAGAAATGTCTTTACTTTCCTACAAAATTTGGGTTCATTAAAGCAGCTTTGCAATTTCCTGAAGGCCCTCTAGCCCACCTCTTTCTCCTCTTGTTCAACTCTGCACTCAACTCATTTATCTGGATTGTCAGGCCAGATGTACATACCGATGGACAAGCCTGATAAGGTGTCCCTCCAAGTGAATGTTGAGATCTGAGGAACTGCCATTCTTCATCTGCTTAATCTTTCCTGCATAGATGGATCGGCCAAATTCCTTTGAAATTCTGCAGCGCTCCAGGGTTTGATACAATCAACCAATGCGATTCACAAATAGGAGCATCTGGAGACTCACTGTCCTCAGGCATGCCCTCCCTTCTCTGGCCTAGATTCTGCTCGGATCTCTGCCAAAAATACCTTCGGTGAGCAAAAATCCCCCTGTTTCATGCCTTGCCCAATGCTTATTATCAGAGGGTTAATGATTAGGGTAATTACTGTTGTTATTGCTTCTAAAAAATCTTGAATGATTTTGAAGTATGGAAGGCAGACACTGTTGTAAAAGAGCCTGTAAGGAAGAGTTTGGATCTACAAAATCAAATGCTTCTTTTGGTAACCAACAAACAAGAAGCACAATGGGATATATTCTCTACATTTTTCAGTTAATTGTAAAGACATACTCTATTGTTGGATATGGATGTTTCTTACTAATAACCTTGACTCAGATATAGATAATTCTCACAAATGTTTTGTACAGATGGCAGAGTAGAATCATAGCCTGAAAGTCACTGATGATCTCTCTATTGCTTTTTTTTAAGGATTAATAAACTCTGAGGTTTCCCCCATCTCTGACAGCTTTTCTTTGTTCAAATACCTCATATACTAATCTCCTGCTACCCTCTCAAATGGGTCACGTCCAGCACAGACGTCTTTAAAATGCACTTGACCTCCTACAGCTGCTTTCCCCATCTTTGTGCCCTTTAGTGACATTTTGACCTTCTCTAAAAGCACATACAGAACTGTGATGTCACACTCCAAGTGTGGGGGTTCCACCATCTTTGATGGAGACAACTCTTACATTTATTTACGGAAATCTTTCCCATTTTTCTTCTGTTTGTGTTCCTCTTTCCTCGTTCATCCTTGAATGCTTTTAGCTGAATATTTAGCGAAGCTTTCTTTAAGGTAATTTTAACTTCATTGTTTTTCTCTGCTTTATGAGATGCCACGTCTTATAAGTTTCCATTATCCTGTTTTGCAAGACATTACAAATGAGTTTATATTCTAACCCAATACTGCTTTTGGCAGCCATCTTGCTCATTTTGACAATTCTGTCAAATGTGGGCTGAATAAGGCATATTTCTAGGCTCTTTTGTCTCACCGTTGTGGCAAATAATATACCCCAGCTAAATGGAATCATATTATTTTAGTTGATGTCAGCATAATTTCTGTTTTCCATTTTTCATTTTTGATTTTCAGTGACTTGTCTAAGGAATTCAGGGTTAAGTTGCTTCATTTGTGTGCCATGTATTTTTTCTCATGACTGTTCTATATTTTTGCTTTTTACTAATTTTGATCTTCTCTCTCTGACAAAGGGATGGTCGGACTATGCATACACAGCTGTCTCAAGGATAACTCCCAAATCAGTAACAAGTCTTTTCTTGTCTATACAAATTTAATCCATTTCATTCTTTATGGTGTTATTTGGTGCTTGCCACGTCCAGCACCTTCCAACGCTTTTCTAAAAAAAAAAAAAGGTGTGCATGAAATAGAGGCAAGCAGATTCTGGATAACCTATGTTTTTTGTTTTTTTCATTCCTTCCTTCTTTCTGGCCCATGCTTCGCCATATATTTCTACTCGCGCTCAACGTTTTTTACTTTGGCACTGAAGTCCCCAGGGTCTTATCAAATTCTTCAAAGAATTCCTCTATCTTTCATCCATAGCCACTGATGTTTGTGCACAGGCTGCAGTTAATTTTCACAGTGGCCTATTTGTAAATATTTATCACTAATTATCAGAGGCAGTGAGGAAGGCCCCTTTCTAAACCCGGAACACATCAATTCTAGTCCCACCTCTGACATGTATTCACTGTGTGACCCTGGGCAAGTCCCTTAACCTCCTAATGCTTCTCTCTCATCTGAAATGATAGAGAGGTTTTCCTCATCTAGGAGCTTCCTAAACCAATGAAATAGCAGACTCAGTCCCCATCCCAAACCAGAGATGGCATACACATAACAAAGACTGGTAAGAATGTATTTGCTTAAACTAAAAAGGATAGGGCAGACAGAAGATTGTGGGTATATCTCCCATGTTAGATACTATAGAGTAGCCACAAAAAAGGAAAAGGAGAATAGTAGCTAACATCCAGAAATTCACAAGACACAAATTCCAAGAAGAGAGTCAGTAGTAAAATCCCTATGTGTATGTAAGTACTTCAAGTTTGAGCAAGAAGAGGACCTGGAGGATCTAACACAAGAAGGTAAATCTGGCCTTACTGAGACTTGGTGCTTGTGACTATACAGTGGCTTTGGATGGACATGCTTTGTTCAAAAGAAACAAGGTGGGTAATAAGGTCTCGGGGGTGGGGGTGTGAAGCACTCTACATAAAGCTGGTACACTCATGTGAGAAGATCTAGGAACCAGACAGGGGAGTACAGCAGAAAAAATTTGGGTGAAGGTCAGAGAAGGGACAAACAGAGGTGAAATTTTCATTGCTGCATATTACCAGGCCCCTGGACAAAAACAGGAGACAGCACACAAGCCCGGCAGAGAGGCTTGGTGCAGTCGTGATTGGGGGCTTCAGTTATCCAGTCATCTGTTAGTACTCAAAGTCTATCTCTATCTCCATCTCCCCCACCTCACCCCATCTCACTCTCTTCTCTCTGATTCTCTGTCTCTGTCTCTTTCTTCAAAGTTGGAGGAGCCCACAAAGGGAAATTCTTTTTGGCATCTGAATCTCACTCACCAGGAGGAACTGGTTGCTGGGGTAAAAATGATGGAATGCCTAAAGGGGAAGTGATTATTCTATCCTAGAATTTGTGAAGAGGAAATAAGGTCCCAGTTGACATTACCCTAGATTTAGGGAAAGCAGATTCCAAAGTGTTCAAAGGCTTCCAACATCATGCCACGTGAGGCTTGGTTGAAGGAGTTGGAAATTTTTAGCCTACAGAAGACTTAGTAGTGACAGAATAACTGTCTTCAGCTATCTGAAAGGCTCTCATATAGAAAAGAAATAGACTGGCAAAGTGTAACACTAAGAACAACGAGAAAGATGTTACAAAAAAACTACAGATCTGAGGTAAAGAAAAACTTCCTGACAAATAGAAAGAACTATCATCGTTGTTTGGTTCTTCATTCTGGAAGAGGACCAATGATGCCACGAAGGTGATGTCTTGACTTGCAAGTGAATTGGGTTTAAGTGAGGCAGAGCTATGCAAAGTCATCAGTCTCACTCTCTCCTCCAGAGTCACCTAGAACTATCAAAAAAAAAACCAACCCAGAGTAAACCGCCTTGGACATAATGGGTTTCATGTCGTTAAAGGTCTCTAAGCAGTGGCTGGTGGACATTTAGGGTCTGTTGCAGAGGATTTTCCTGCTTAGGTGTAGGTAAGACCAGATGGTCTCTGAAATCCCTCCTAACTCTACCATTGGGTGAGTTACACCTCGGTACAAATTAGTTTGATCAGAAAAACATTTTTCTTAACAAATTGAATTGGGACCTACCAGAAAGAGAACAACTAGACTGAAGCCTGAGTTGGAGCCTAGCTTTGACATGGATAGCTAAAAATCATGGGTGAACAATAAAACTTCTCGGAGCCTCACTTTCCTCATTAGCAAAATAGGGACACCAAGACTTAGCCCACCTCACAGGTCCATGGTCAGGAAAGCACTGTATTAAATTGAAAATCCTATAGAAATGTGAGTTGTTGTTACTGCAATAAAGTTCTCCTCCAATGCCTCCCTGGGGTAAGGAAGGGACCTGGGCCTACAGAAGGCTCTGCTGGCAGAGGGCAAGTTCAGCTTTGACTTGACTAGATGTGCCAGTTGACCATTTGGTCCTTGCTATCTGTGACAAGACCAACGTCTATCAGAGTTTCCAAATTCCACCATCCCCCAAAACAAGGGTCCGCTAGTTTTTCCCTAAAGTGCAACAAAGCTATTCCTAGGACTGGCCTCGGGGTAGGGTGGAGGGGATAATGTCAAAATTCAGGTTGTACCTCCCTTGATGCAACTTCCTGGGTCTTCCTGTTCACCTATTGCCATAAAAAGCCACCCCACTCCCCTGACATGAAGTTTTGCTCCTTCAGACTTGGTTAATGTCCTGAGAACACGCATCAGACACCTACTCTGCACTGTTAACCAGATACATTTTAATATGAAGATGAGGGGGGCCACACCTTCCCAGGCTTGGTGCTGATATCCTTTCTATGCTGTGGCTAAGTAAACCGCCTTTTTTGCTAGTTGTTGAATGACCCAGAAGTGCTTCATTTTGTCCCAACATGGAACCTGAACCTAGCCAGGGACCTCAGGGTAGCAGCCAGAGTCAGGCCCACTCCTAACTCCATCCACCTGTCACCAGGACTCTCTTACACGTCGTCTCCCCCAATGAGCATGGGAGTTCCTCTCCAGCAGAAGCTGTCTTGCTCCTCTATTCACATTCCCAGTTCTTAGAGCAGTGTATGGCACATAGTAAGTACTCATTAAATGCTTTTCCATCTCATACTAAGAGAAGCTGAACTAATGTGTTGTACATGCTTGTATCTGTACATGCTGTTTACCCTGGTAAAATGTAAGTTCCTTGAGGAGAGAGATGTTTTGTTTTTGTCTTTCTATTCCCCAGTGACTAGCACAGTGCCTGGCACGTAACAGGCCCCTAAACGCTTAATTACTGATTGATGGAAATCGCCAGTTACATCAGATGAGGGAGCCCACGTACTGATGAGCCTCTCACAGAATTATTAAAATATGATTACTATCACTACTAATATGAAGCCAGGGACAATGATAATAAAGAACTGGAAAATCAGTTCCCGAACAAAGGGAATGCTTTTCTCCCCTCCGGTATTTTGTTCTCCACTGCTGCCATAGCTGCCACTTCCTTATGGCAACACCAAGTAATGAAGCTTTCATTTTTTCTAAGTGCTCTAAAATCAATCTGCTTTAGATTAAACAGTCATAGCATCATAGCGTGACCTCTGTGAGCTGGTATTTCTCTGATTCCATTTTTAATTTCATTTCAGAAGGAAATAAGTTGTCAAAAGTCCCATCAAAGGTTCTAAAACTTGCCTATTTGAAGTTCCCCTTTGGAATCTGTCCTGTGTCTTTCCGAGAGGTGGCCTCTGTCCCATGGCACTGGGAAGCAAAGAGTTTCCTGCATAAGGAATATTATTAATAAGAATATCTTTAGTAAAATACCAGTAAACAGCTGAATGAGACTTTTCACTAGTTCCATAAGCAGTGTCTCCAACAGACGTAATCCGTTTAAAGGAAGGAATAGATTCCCTTTCCACATTAATCAAATTTAATTTGCAAAGAGAAAGAGAGAGGTGCTGAAAATCTAAAGTAAGTGCAAACTGTAAAATACACAGGTTAGCTTGTTAGTCACTGTGGTAAAAGGTCTCAAGTTGCTTTTAAATATATGTAAAGGGAATTAAAACCAGATAGGAAAACATTGCTTTATTTATTATCATTTTGTGGTCCATATGAAAGATTAAGTCATGGTTCATTCCACATTTCCAATGTTCTACAAGGTATGGAGAGCATTTAAAGCAAGTGAAAACGCCAAGGTGTTCCCAAAGTCTCAGTGAGGTGTTCAGCTTAAACAGCTTTACTAACTTAGAACAGCACCAGAACTGTGGGGATACCTTGAACTTACCAAGAACATGAAAAGACAGAGCTCTTACTTAACCTCTCTAGGCCTCAGTTTCCCCATCTTTAAAAATGAGGGGATTGGACTAGATGTTCTTTCCAGCTTTAGTTCTGAGGTGTGAGACCCTGGGGAAGCTGCCTTTCTTCCTGGGTCTTCAGCATCCTCATGTGCAAAGTTGTGGGTATTGGACAGAGGGCTGGGCCTGGAGTCAGCAAGATTTGGATGCAAGTCTTGCCTTAGACATATACTAGCTGGATGACAGGCATATGGCTTCATCTGTCAGTGCCCTAGTGTTAGTGCTTGCTAAAACTATATTGAAGGTATAGATGAGTGGTTGATCGGTATTGGTAATGGGAATTTCCACACCAAGAGATTCTCATATGGAAGAGATCAGAGGTTTAGAGAGATATAAGGGGTTTGACTTTTGAGGAGGGACAGGGTGAAAGGAGAGAGAATAGAATAAACAGGGGTGAAAGGAATAGGATGGACGGAAATACAGTTAGCAATTGTAACTGTGAAAAAAAGTTTAAAGCAAGTTTTTCTGACAAAGGCCTCATTTCTCAAACATATAGAGAACTGAGTCAAATTTATAAAAATAAGAGCCATTCCCCAAATGATAAATGATCAAAAGGTATGACCAGTTTTCAGATGAAGTAATCAAAGCTATCTACAGCCATATGGAAAAAATATTCTAACTCACTATTGACGGGAGAAATGCAAATTAAAACAATTCTGAGGTACTACTTCATATTAGATTGTGTAATAGGACAGAAAAGGTAAATAACAAATGCTGGAGGGGATGTGGGAAAAATGAGACACTAATGTATTGTTGGTGAAACTGTGAACTGATTCAACCATTCTATAGAGCAATTTGGAACTATGCCCAAAGGGCTATAAAACCAGGCATATCCTTTGACCCAGCAATACCACTACCAGGTCTATATCCCAAAAGAGATAAAAAACAAAAAGGAAAAGGACCTATATGTACAAAAATATTTATAGCAGCTCTTTTCTGGGGGTAAAGAATTAGAAATTGAGGGGATGCCCATCAATTGGGGAATGGCTGAACAAGTTGTGGTATGTGATTATGATGAAATACTACTGTACTATAAGAAATGATGAGTGGGCTGCTCTCAGAAAAACCTTGAAAAACTTGCATGGGCTGATGCAAAGTGAAATGTACTGTGTACAAAGTAATGGCAATATTGTAAGATGATCAGCTGTGAATGACTCAGCTATTCTCAGCAATACAATGATCCAAGACAACTCTGAAGGACTTAGGATGAAAAATGCTATCCACTCCCAGAGAAAGAACTGATGGTGTCTGAATACATACTGAAGTATACTTTTTTTTTTTACTTTCTCTATTTTTTTGAGTTTTTTTTGGTCTATGTTTTCTTTCACAACATGACTATTACGGATATGTTTTGCATGACTACACATTTATAATCTATATCGAACTGCTTGCCTTCTCGGGGCGGGGGGTGGACAAGGAGGAAAGGAGAGAATTTGGAACTCAAAGTTTTAAAAACAAATTGTTAAAAATTGTTTTTACATGTAACTGAAGAAAAATAAAATACTAAATAAATAAAAAAAAAGTAAAAAAAAAAGAGAATGAGAAAAAAAGAAATATAAGGGGTTTGGATTAAATGATATCAACGGTCTGTTCCAGATCCACATTTCTTCATTCTAAGGGTGGTATTTATGAAAAAATCTTGGAGTAGTATCCCCATCAGCCAAAAGTTACTATGTGTCAAAAATAATATTTTTGATTCACTATCATCACAATATTAACATTTTATGAGTTTCTTGAATCTAAACATCTATTTAGAAAACAAGTGAAAGTTAGCTTATAAAAGCTAAACTAAATAGCTATTCCAATAAATATTTAGCAAATTATTTTATGCTGAAATAGTTTTACCTGGAGTTTCAGTGTTCTCCACGTGGGTTAAGAAGTTACTTGCATTTATTAATTTTTCATCATTGAAATCATCCCAAACTTCATCTCCCAATTCGAAGTTCACATTCAAAGAGTCTGAAAACTGAGAGCTATTTTTATCTGCATCTGTCAAATTATGCGTTAGGGAACTATTAGGATTTCTGTTGGAGAGTACTATGTGAGGGCTTTCTTCATTTAAAGCAGTAGAACATTTCCATGTGGAAAAATCTGTGAATAAGAAAGAATAGGCAGTCATTCAATCTACAACAAATAAATAAGTAAAAATGCTATTAAACAACACTGTCTCAAAGATACAAATTTTAAAAGGCCTGAACACCTCACAAAAGCACTGTGCTAAACTAATATTGTCAGTAATCAATCAATTAAGCAAGCAAGCAAGAATTAATTAAGTGCCTCCTGTGTGCCAGGCACTGTGCTGGGGTTACAAAGACAGAAGGGAAAGTCTCTACTTTCCAGAGCAGAGACACATGTACATTTATAGGCATAGACAAAACACACAGAAACCAGGTACCAGTATAGCAACGATCCCTCTGGGGATAATTCCTCTCTCCACTGACACTTGGGGGCTGGATCTCTCTGAGGACAATTATTCCAGGTTCAAGGTACTCTGTGGGTCTGTATTCCTAAAACTGCAACTCTCAAGCATCTACTGGTATGTTCACCTTTAATAGTCTGTGAACTCACAAAATTAGCTCTAAGCAAAGGCATTTACTAAAATGGCACATAACAAAACATTTATTTATAATCCTGAGGCATTTCTACTACATATATACATGGTGTCAGTGGGAAGACACAGAGTATATTAGAAGAGAGGCAGACATAAAGGGAAACTTCTGTGATGTAATTTTTTAAAAAAAGAAATATATGTTAAATTTAACATGATAATAACAAAATTGCTCTGTTTGTACCCCCATCTGGACTTCTTTTAAATTCTATGCATTTAAAAATTGTTGTGATGCTCTTTTTTCCATGTCTGTCACTACCCATTAACACACTTTCCTATCTGAGCCTCCTGTCCCCTACTACATGCTCTCTCTTAAAACGACGTATAGTCAAGTCAAATGTGTACAGATCAATGTACTGGCCATGCCTGGGAATGTACTCTGTCTTATCATGTGCCTCTCATCAATCACCTCCCTAAGAGGTGGGAGAAACATTTCCTCATCAGTCTTCTGAAGTCATCATCGGTAGCTGCTTTAGTGAGGTATTCCCCCATATATTCTATCCCTTGTTTCAGTATAAATTCTTATCCTAGCCATAGAGGTGAAAATTATCTCTTTCCTTTGTCTTCTAATTGTTTTAATATGATCTCCTATATTTTAGGTCATGTATTCACTTGGGGTTTATTGGATGCATATGGTAGATAGACGATGTTGGTTTAAATCTGATTTCTGCCAGACTGCTATTCAGTTTTCCCAATTATTTTTGTGAAAAAAAAAATGAGTCTCTGCCTTATTGGGATTGCCTTTGGGTTTACTTAACATCATGTTCCTATGTTTTATTACTTCTGGGTCTCGTTTATATAATATGTTTTGTTGTTCAACTTTTCTGTTTTTTAACCAAATTGTTTTGATGATTACTGCTTTAAATTCAATGAGGAAATGAAATATTAGGACTAAGTCAAAGCCTGATCAGGGGAAGAATAAATGAAATATTTACTATTAAAAACAACTGGCCTACAAAACAAGGCAAGGAGAGATAATTTAAGAATCATTAGGCTTCCTGAAAACTGTGACCAAAAACCCAATTGCACATCGTATTTCAAGAAATTACAAAAGAAAACTGTCTAGAAATAAGAAAGCCAGATGGCAAAATGAAAATGCAAAGAATTCTCCATTGAATTCCTGAAAGGAAGCCCAAAAGGCAAAGACTCAGGAATGGCATAGCCAAAATCCAGGGCTCTGTCATCAAAGCAAAAATACTACAAAGTAGTTAAAAAAAAGTGAGAGGAAAGGAAGTGGAAGCACTAAATGCAGATTTTTTTTTTAAAGGAAGCTGGCCTTTAAGAAAGGGAGACATCAGATACAGCTGGCAGGGATGTTTTGATCAAATAAGAATTTTTTTAAGGACAGGGGAGATTTGGGCATGTTTGTAGGCAGCAAGGAAGGATTCGGTAGCTAGGGAGAGACTGAAAAATTGAAAAAGAGTAGGGATGATAGTGGACAGGGCAAATGACCTGAGAAGATGGAACTGTGTGGGATCAATGACTGGTACATGTAGAGGTACCGGCCTGGGTGAAGAGAAGGACCATCACAGACTGGAGTTAAAAAGGAGACAGCAGGGGATGTGAACGGGGTGTGAGATGAGAAGAAGGGGAGAAGGTGAAGAGCTTCAGTTTTCTTGAGTATGAGATGAAGTCTTCATCTGAGAGCCAGGGAGAGGGTGTTGTGGGAAGCATGAAGAGAGAAGAGAAAATCTAGAGAAGCCACTGTGGCAACTTGAATGGAGAATCAATTAAAGAGGAATAAAATAATTGTCTTGCTGCGATGAGGGCTCTGTGGAGATTAGAAAACATGAATGTGTATGGACCAGTCAGTACAGTTTTGCTAATCAAGAATTTATTAAGAATTTTCTATATGCCAGATGGTGTGCTAAGCACGGATACAAAGAAAGGCAAATACACAGTCCCTGCCCTCAAGGAGCTCACCTTCTAATGGGGTGAGCATGCAAACAACCCAAGTACATTCAAGATTCATACAGAGTAGACAGAAGACAATCTCAGAGGGAAGGCACTAGCAAGAACTAGAGGTGGAGGATTGGAGGGAGGGCAGGGAAAGACCTATTGCAGAAGATGGGATTCGAGTTTAGTCTGGAGGAAAGTCGGGAGGCAGAGGTGAGGAGGAAGAGCATTCCAGATATGGAGGACAGCCCATGAAAAACTCTTCCAGCTCTATTTACCAGCACCTGAGTACGAACAGAAGAGGCCAAATAGGTGAAGTAATGGGGCTGACAATACGTGATTGATGACTACAAGGGAACAAAGGCTAGGGAAGTGGAAGGAAGTAAAGACTTGTTCTGGTTTACCAGTCAGTGGAAACCCAATCTCCAGTGGGTTAAGACTCGAAAAAGAAAGAGTAGGGTGATGGCCCTAGGCAATGCTAAGATACTTACATGCAGAATAAATTTATGCTATTGATCTGTACTCTCCACTAAGTCCTACTGCAATGCTTCACCGTGGTGTGGAGGTGACCTGTGCTTTTAGAGAATCTACCAGCAAAGCACAAGCTTTGGCTGGTCCTACCCAGTTGGAAATAGTTTGAGTATGAGTCCAGTAATAGACTGTATACCAGTCATCTAAGATCTAACAGCTAAACTGGGAGCTAAATTTGCTAATGTGTTGTATTTCTTATTTGGGAACTGCCCATATCCTCGGAACACTTATCTGTTGGGGAATAGTTTTGTTTTTATGTATTGCTATAATTTCGCTGCTTGATAAAGAATATTCCAGCCACGTAATTCTCAAAGACCCACTATGGGATGCCTCCTGTACCACTTCCCGCATGCTAATTTTGACACCACCTGTTCTGAACCTTGAAGTTGGGGTCATGTGGGCTTGCTCTCTCTTCATCAAGACCACAAGCTTTGGCAAGGAGAAGGTTCACCTCTAACTTAGAGGCTTCAGAAGCAAAGGGGAAAATGGGGATGCTGAAGTGAGGTTCTGAGGTTGTAGAAGAGAAAGAAGAGGAAGGCTGTGATAGCCTTGACTCGCTCAGTAAAGTAGCAGATCAGATCCTGTGTCAGAAGGGGAAGGGGAGAAGCTGGTATATAAGATCTAAAAACAGAGAAGGTTTCAGATAGCTGTTGTGGAGGGACAGAAAGAGTTCAGTTCACTTCCCTCTCTTTCAGCTGACAAGTGGGAAACTTTTTTTTTAACAAGACTGGCAGCAGAATTTTTTGTTATAATACATGAAATCTTATTTTATAATACAAATTTTCAGAAAACCCTTGAAGCACTCAAATGAACTACAGCATCCCTTGAAGTTGGCACAAAGGAGCTGGAAACCTTTTAAGGACATACCAACATGTCATGGGCTGGATTTCCAAATCCATTTACTATCCAAAAGGCAGCAAGTACTAAGAACTAGGAGACTTGAGTTCTGGTCCTGGAACTGCAACTACCTACTGGTGCCCAGCAGGTAACCTTGAACAAACTATTTGCCCTTTATTATCTCAGTTTTCTCATCTGTAAAATGAGGGATTTAACTAATGATTCCTATAACCCTGTCCAGCTCCAAGATTCTATGATTTAACAATTGTTGTTGTTCCGTCATTTCACTCATGTCCAACTTCCTGTGACTCTGTTTGGGTTTTCTTGGCAGAGATACTGGAGTGGTTTACCATTTCCCTCTCCAACTCATTTTACAAATGAGGAAACTGAGGCAAGCAGGGTTAAGTGACTTGCCCAGGGTCACAGAGCTAATTATCTGAGGCTGCATTTGAACTTGGGTCTTCCTGACTCTACATCCAGCATTTTATCTACTGTGTTGTTAATTAATCTACCATAGCTGTTAATTAGGTTACAAACTCCACAAGGCCATATACCTTATCAAATATAAACTTTGTCTTTCCTCTTACATGTACCTAGCACAGTGTTCTGCTCAAAGTAAGGGAGGAATAAATGTCTGCTGAATTTGATCATTTGATTTGTTGAAGGAGGCAAAAAAGCAGTAATATGGGGAATAGTAAAGTTGAACAGATACATTATATATACGTATACATGTACATACATGTATATGTATGAAAACTGAGGGGAGTGACAATAATTATAGATAATGAAGGAAGCTCTCTTTCCATATCCTCTCTTATGTGTTGTTTTTACTCAGGTTTGGAGCAAAGTGGGCAAACACTTTGAAGTTGTAGGTGGAAACAACAGGTCTCTTCTTGATCACTTCTTGTGCCTAAGTAATTCTTCATAAAATTAACTAGCTTGGGATAATAAAGACGTGGTATATATGATGTAATCATCACCTGGCTAAGGTCTTAAAAAATAGCAGCTTAAGCACGCATGAGGGGAGAAGATGCAAGTAAGAGGTTCTCCTGTAAGCAATTACCACCCATGTACTTTCTCTCTCTCTCTCTCTCTCTCTCTGGCTAGGCAATGGGGTTAAGTGACTTGCCCAGGGTCACACAGCTAGTAAGTGTCAAGTGTCTGAGGCCAGATTTGAACTCAGGTCCTCCTGACTCCAGGGCCAGTGTTCTATCCACTGTTGCCACCTAACTGCTCCCACCCATGTACTTTTAAAATGCTTTTCTACCAGTTACATTTTACAAAGGGGACAAATAGTTAAAGGATCTATGATTTCACCAGCTTGAGGAACTCTCTCTATTGACAGAATGCAGGCTACTTTTGACTCAGAAGATAAATTCTAGGGAGTAGCCTGAGGCAGACGTAGCTGAAGTGACTTACCTAGGGTCAGAGAGTTAAAGTGTCAGAGGAAGGATCTGAACCCAGGTGTTTCTGAACCTAAGTCCAGCACTCTATCATGCTACTTCAACAATGTGATTTCAAGTAGATGATTTAATCCTACCCAGCCAGTCCATGCACTCTCAAAAAAAAGTTCAGCCAAGTTCTGTGCTCATATATGGCAGGTAGGTAGGCAAGCATATGTGCCACAGTGTTACAGAGGAAGAACATATGGAAACAGGTACTATTATTAAAAAAATGTGACACATTAGAAGACAATAAATCTAGATTATACTTTGACTATATACCAAAATCCAGACATATTTAGTAAAAAGGTACAGAATTATACTGGACTATTTTAGAGATATTCAAAATGTGAAAGGTATTTCTAAAAATGTCTAATAAAGTCAAATTAAGTTATATATAGAAACCAAGAACAACACTAGTTTAGAACATCAACTCATTTGTGAAACTTTATGGAAGATTACAAGCACCATCACCCCATAAAACAGTGAGAAGCAATACAGGGGAAAGGAGGTATAAAGAAAGTTTGACAAGAAACCAATTAAGCAAAGTCATTTCAAAATATTTAAAGATGAAACAGGAAGGACAACAAACAGCAAAAAATGGGGAAAAATCTATAAAGATTTTCATGCCAAGTTCTTTTCACTATCAAGGCCAGTGGAGCCACCACCTTATTTTCCGACATCTCAGTCCCTGGCACGCTTCTTGGGGGAGAAGAAATGGCCCCTGACCACAATGAAGATGGAAACCGCAGCTGGACTGGACAAAGTATACACAGAGGGGCTCTGTGCTACTGGTGACCTGACTTTGAGGGCACTGAGGGATTGAGTTCCAAGGTATTTAAAGAGGATACCAAAAGCTTTGGAAAATCTGGGACCTTCTTATTACAGACAAATTAGTGACTTAGAGAATACCAATAACTGCCAAACTGCACATATATTTATGAGAATAAATTATACATGTGTACATCAAGGGTATTTTTGATGAAAGTATGAGAAAGGAATAGTCAGGCTTCTACAAACAGTATGTACACAAAGCAGATAGACCTCCACTTTTACAATCATACAGCTGAGTGAAAAGCACAAATGATATTTGGTAGTGCAAAATGCTACCTTAAAGACTTTATTTCAATTAGGTGTTTCCCATGTACATGCCAAATTGTATAGGATACCCTTTATAACCAGATATAACAACAGAGATAACAGTAATCTTTTATAACTGGTTACTACTATCAAATGAGGCACAAAATTAAAAGATGAATTCTTGCCAGAAATATTTGCCCACTGTCATCTGGAGGATATATAACACAGAGAACAAATGGAAGCAAGATTCCCTGTAAATCGGGTTGCTAAACATTTTTTGTGATGGACCCCTTTGGCACTCTGGTGCCAAAGATTTCTTCTCAGAATAAAGCTTTCTAAACGTTAAAAAAAAAAGTCATGGACCCCAGATTAAAAACCCCTGATTATGGATGGGTGGGGCCTTCCAAAATGCTCCTGTTTGTGGATGATTTTGATTCAATAGCAACACTGCAGAACACTGCACAGTAATGATATCCATAATCACTCAGCGGTACCTAGCCTATTGAGAAGGGGACCTAAGTTGCTGAAGAACCCAAGAAGAAACACACTGACACCCCAAGTCACCAGCATTCCATCCTAGCTATGATAAGCAGTTGAATGGGCAGAGCTCATTTATCAGTACATAGATGATGAAAACATATAACAAATGAAAAATAAGTGGGGCCCAAAAGTGAACAGGAAAGTAAGCACAGGCTAAATCATCTCTGGGAAACTTCTTCAGGAAACAAAGGGCTATCTTTAACACCATTATTCTTTCAATAATATTTCATGGCTGCAAGTCAGAACACACCAAAGTTTTGGAAGGATAAAAACTTAGGGTCAACTAAAGAGCAATGAATTGGTACGTGTTGGATATGAGCATGCTACAACACATTATTAATGAAGAACTGTGCCAGACGAACTGGGTAAAGCATGTTATCTGAAGGGTCTGTGGTTAGGTCGGCAGGGAGAAATCCTTGTCCAATAACTCCCTTCACCAACACAGATTGACATCCATCTATGATTTAGGAGAGAAGTCCTGGCAATTGCCTCAGACGCAAACAGGTTAAAGTTCAGGGACACAAAAGTAGCAAGGTTTAGAGGAGACAGATGAATAGAGGTTTTAAAACCCCCCACCAAATTCCACTATGCTAACTTAGACAAAATGATGTGGTGAGATCAAGAGATGATGAATGGATGCCTATGTATTCCACTGGTTTCCACATGCAGCAGTGGCTGCAATTGCTTGGTTTGGAGTCGCTTGGCTTAGCAGGAAAGTGAATTACTCAATCTCTCTGGACATTCTCACGCGAGCAGAGTCACTATGTCCCGGCTCCTCTCTTCAGCTGTTTCAATGGGTATGACCTTCCTTTAGTCAGGGCCTTCACCCTTGCCTGGATAAAGCTTCCTGAACCTGTTGGGGGAAACCCTGACAGAACTATAAGAAGATTACCTGAGGCCAATATGGCACAGGAGCTCAGGTCTTCTGACCAAACCTCTTTGCTGCTAATACTGCTATTTTGTTTGTTCTTTGCCCAAGGGAATCCATGTTGGTCTGGATTCATGTGGCTTAGCTTCCCCCCCCTGCTTTTGAAAAGTTATAATAGTGCTTAACAATAACTAGTTCTTTTGGGACCCAACAAGGAAAACCCCCTGCACATTCAACACATTAGAGAGGTTCCTTCTCTTTCTCTGTGTAGCCAACCATAACCTCCCTCAAAACCATCCTTGAGCAAATGAGATTGTTGTTCAGTCATTTTTCAGTCCTGTCTGACTCTCTGTAAGCCCATTTGAGGTTTCTTGGCAGAGATAACATCATGGTGCCATTTATATCTCTGCATTATTTTACAGATGAGGAAACCGAGGCAGACAAGGTTAAGTGATTTGCCCAGGGTCACACAGCTAGTAAGTATCTGAGGCTGTATAGAAACTCATCTCACATTGAGTTAATTGCGGTTTGATCCTGATGGTAGTTTGTTATCAAGATACCTAAGGAAGGCTAGGTAAACAACATAAAATATAATTTTAAAGAAACTGATTATCTTTGGAACAGATAGAGCCCCTCCCTGGGGAGAGAAAAGAGAAAGGAGAGAAGAGGCATCACTATCATCATTCTTGGCAAAGACTACTACAGTCTTTTCAGTATTGGCTCCATGGGGCCAATACATGTAGTTCAGCCCCCAAATCACAGCAGTGGCATCAACCACAGCAGCGGCACTGCTGGGCCCCAGAAGCTCCTCTTATTTCTCTCTCACTGTGCCATGGACATGTCACGTCCTATCCCAAGTGAATTGCTCATCTCTCACTTCTCACAAGGCTTCATTTCTTTTCTTCAGGATGAGAGCACAAAGAAACTATCTTTTCAAATACGGTTACACAGCCTTCTTGTTTCCTGGGTCTGGAAGAATTCTCTGTCTACCAGCAGACACAGTCTCCAGAACCATAGGAATATCCTGGGCACACGAGGTAAATCACTTGTAAAGGACTTATGGGAAGACATGTACAAGAGTCACACAGGACAGGAAGGCAAGGATGGACTGTGATTTGCATTGTTGTAGGCAGTGCACACGTTGATAAGATCATAAGTGCACTGAATTATCGAAAAGGCATTTAAAATAAAATATTTACAAGCTTAAGCATACAAACTGAATATACTTCTTTAGTTTTCCTTTGTTGATTACATGTGTTTATATACATACATATATATTTATATGTAACCCCACTTTCTCATATTTATCTTTCACTTAGGTCAATGTATCCAGATCATATGTAGGGCATGCATGACATTTAAATTAAAATATATTAGGCATCACAGAATCCTAGTTTAGCAAAATGTCACGGAGAGGAATTTCTCCCTTTCCCAAGAGAAATAGCAGGATCTTTTGAAATATCAGATTAAGAAATCTATCTCCCAAAGAACAGAAAGAAGGCCAGCAAAGCAGGACTGCTTTAAAAGCTACAGATTGGTCATATCAGATTCTTAAAAGAAAGTGAGTTGCACATAATAGAGAGACCTGCACTTTCTCATACAATCTTTCCCATTATACTATGCATGCAAATATCCATTCTATTTGGTGATTATTATCTGAATAAAAATAAAAATTAAAAAGAAAATCGTTAGATTGTAGAAACAACGAGGATAACAAGCATTTATGCAAGGCCCATGTGGACAAGGACAGTTTTATCCATTGTATCTGTATCTCCACCCTCTAGCACAGTGCCTGGTACATCTGTACTGGGCATTTAATACATACTTGTTGAATAACTGATTGATTGAACTTAGCCTAATAATTCAAAAGAAAACCGTAGCTGAGTCGGTAATTAAAATAATTTTAGATGTTGGTTTTTCAATATTATTACTTTTCAATCTGAAGTAATGAAAAATCATTTCCCTTATTAAATCATAACTCTGTGGTAACTTACCTTTTCCTCCATAATAAGCTGGTTGCAGTTGTTGCTGGGATTTTTCACAGATTTCAGGAGAATTCCATTTTTTCACTAAGGAGGATGCAGAAACTTGTGTACATTTTGACCTTTATGGATTTGTGGAAAAAAGAGAAAATTGGAAATAAATTAAAAAATTAATAGGAAACTAAAAACCATTTATTCAAACAAATGAGGGAAAATCTACGACCCATTCATTCACCCCTTCTCTGAGTCACTTATACCAATCTGAAATGGGAAGAAAGGAGGTGGAAATATACACATATTGGGCTAGAGCCAGACACAGATGGATTAGAGAGTTTTCTATTTAGTGTAATTTGAAGGTTACATTGAGAAATCTCAACTGCACCCATATATCTCCTCTATCTGACTTCCACAGCTTTGTCATCCTTTCTTGGTCTGAAATTCCTACCATTCTTATTATTTTTAAGATTAGACAACAAAGGTATTGTGTATAGAAGGCCACTGATAAGAAACAAACAAACAAACAAAGAAACAAACATTCCTAAGACAGAGAAGAAATGTTGTTTCCTTTCAGGGTCTGGGTTGGAGAAAGGATAACCTTCTATTTCAGTCCTCTGTCACACGAGCATGAATTTGCTTATCAAACTATGTTATGGTCTTCATGGCCTCCTGGATCTTTTTGGAAGTGACCAAGAGCCCAAGGGGATGAGATACAAGATGAATGAGAGTAATGGAAGGTGGTACTGAGAGAATGATGGCAAAAAAACTAGGGGATCCCTGGCCAGAAAGGGAAGACCTGATCACACAGTGGCGAAGGGATTGCTGAGAAGACTTTGCTTTCTTCATGGTTTTGCCTAACATGCCCAGCATTCCTGAAGATGGTGTAACAGTAGTATTTTGGGAGAAAGGCCCTTTGGAACTACCCTATATCCTTAAAATAAACATCAAGAGCTAAGGGCATGTGATAGCAACCCTCTTTCTGAATAAGCATACTCCTTCTAAGAATAGAATGGTAGAGTTGGGAAGGATTTGGGGGATCATCTAGTCCAACAATTTTATTTTATGGATGAGGCCATTGAAACCCAGAAAGATGGCTATTTCAGGTCAACTGACTCCTGGTCTACTGTGCTATACTATGTTTGTGCTTATAAGAAAAAAGATTTATGTTGAGAGTTTCCCTTCAAATACAACTTCCAAGTATAGTGTAGTAGTAGCAGTAGTAGCAGCAGCAGCAGCAGCAGTAGTAGTAGTAGTAGTAGTAGTAGTAGTAGTAGTAGTAGTAGTAGTAGTAGTAGTACCTTGGAAAAACTGGAAGCAAAGCCCTTGGAGTAAAACGAAATTTCTTAAGATCCACATTTTGAGATTTATTTATCTGCATCTATTGGAAGAAAAAACAAATTCACTCTTGATTACACATGAATAAATTTTAACAGATGAATGGTTTAATGAAGATCCTTGGGCGTATATAAAGGTTATAAAGTAATAAGAAAAACTGAGAATACAAAACAAAGCAGGAAAACTACAGCTGGTCACCATGAAATAATCTTGTGCTGCCAGACAAGGCTGTTTGGTATTGTTGGAAGCAGTAATTACTTCAAACTCTATGTACTGGGTCAACTGTCACCACATCCCTCTTTTTAGCCTCTTGTGATGTGAATCCTTCAATCTCTTTTCATCTTAGCAAAGAAGTGAGTAGCTCTACCACCAGCCTGATCCCACTCTCTGGCTCCACAAGAGGATATATACTGCTCCAACCCTAGCTGCTGGCCTGGCTTTGTAACGCATGAGACAGTATTGAAGTTCATTCACTGGGTATGGTGACATGACATTCTAAAGACTTTTCTTTCCTCTGGTAGGAACTCTCAGATCACTTGGAAAGGGAGTTTTTGTTCAATGCCAGCCTTTAGAACTATTCAAGGCCTTGCATATGGAGGTAAGAAAAAGGCCTGGCAGATAAGACCTTTAAATTCAGTGTCCCATTGAAAATAGAGCCCCCAAAAGACAATACAGGAGTTAGCAGTTTACTCTTCTTGGTAAGTCCATAAAGATAACAAACAGGGAACAAGTGAGATATTGAACAACAATCAGTATCCAAAAAAATACTGACAGGCTAGGTCACTAGACTAAATCTGATAAGTTTAAATGCAATATAATTCACTTTGATTAAAAAATTCAATTTTACAAGTACAAAATAGGGAGATATGGTTAGATAGCAGTTTGTCTAATAAAGATCTGGGGGTTTTAGTGGACTAGAAGCTCAATACGAGTCAACAGTATAGCACTGAAGCCAAGAAAGTTAATGCAATTTTAGGACTATTAAGAAACGCATTGTGTCTAGGATAGGGAGGTGGCTAGTAATCTCACTATCGTATGCCCTGGACAGACCACACCTGCTGTATTCCATTCTGAATGCCACATTTTAGAAAAGACATTGGTAATCTGAAGATGGTCCAGAAGAAGGCAAATAGGATGGCGGAGAGCCTGCAGACCACGCCATCTAAAGCTGGGCTAAAAGAGCTGGAGATGCCTATATCAGGTAATCTAGAGACAGATGAAGATATGTGCATATTTAACTGATACACAACAGAACGAAACAATATGATATTGTTCAGAAAACTAACCTTGAGGCGTTTAACTGGGGGAACAGAGGAAATGGCATCCCTGTGTCTTAAATCAGTTAGATAGGAAGAAAATGTTGACTCTCTCATTTCTGACTTTTGTGCAACTCCAATTTTACCTTTGAAGAGAAATTTAGGATTCTTTAGGCCACACTTAGATGTTTTTATAGAGAGTAATTTCTCAAAATCTAATAGTTACTTTTTCTCATACTGCATACAAAAGAAATAAAATTGTACATAGGGACTATATTCAATGTAATATAAACATTATATTTTGATATTTAAAATTATATTACCATTGTCAAATTTTAAAGCCTGAAATGATCCCATTCTAAGGAACTCACAGCAATCATGTCCACATGTATCTTTATTTTTACAGTGATGGTGGCAGTCTCTGTTTCCAGATATTTTGCAAGTATTCTTTCTGTTGCAGATGCTTCCTAAAGAATAATAATGATAATAAGAATAACAATTTATTACTATGCTTAATTTAATGTCACTGATTTTCATTTTGTTGCTTTTCTACATTCATTAAACAGAGTGATTACGAGCGTCAGTCTCCCACAAATGTCACCATTTTCCTTATACTGTATTACAAGAATATTCTTGAGAAAAGCACAGCCGGCCTTGACAATCAACAAGAAGGTCAGTTTGGTAGTGATGTTTAGGAATGCACTGGAAGAGTAAATGACTGAAGGTAGAAAGACTCATTTTGAGGTGAAAGTAATAGTCCAGTCAAGATACAACGAGGGCCTCAACTAGGGTGGTAACAGTGACAACGATAAAGGATTATAAAAAAGTTATTCACAACAAAGAATGTTTACACTGTACAGGTTAATTTGTGGCTAGGCTGCCTTTGCAGGCAATTGACACCAACACTTCCCGAAGCATTGCAGTTTGCCAAATGGCAGCTTAAATACTCCATTCAAGTTCAAAAGCAAAGTTGGTTATGTTATAAGGAATCGATCGTGTGATCTTGAGTGACTGTTTGAAGCACAATCACAAACATTTAGCACAGTGCCTAGAAAACAGCAAGCACTTCCAAATGGTTTTTACATTCATAAACAGATGCATTTGCATTCATCATATCTTTCTGGCCTTCAGATTTCCCGGTCTGAAGAAGGAAGGGGTGAGATTACATGATCTTTAATGTCTCTTTCAAATCTAATATCTCAGGAGTCTATGATCACGTGTACCTAGTGTTGCAAATATCTGTAACTTCATCTTCCACCACTGATGCAGACCACTTTACCTCTGTAAGTTAGCAGGTGGTCCTTCAGAGTGATGGTGGCTCCAAAATTCATTTCCTTACAGACAATCAATGATAAGCCTCTCCAAATTTAGGTGGGCTATTTCTCAATCAACAGACGTATAATTATATATCTACAGAAATAAATGTGATAAAATCATATATCTAAACCTGGAAGGGACTTATGGGGTCATTTAATCCAGTCTTCTCATTTTACATGTGAAGAAACTGAGGCCCAGGGAGGTTATATAACATGTCCCACCTCATACAGGTAGTAAGAATTATAGGCAGGATTTGAACCCAAATCCAAAGCTATGGCTTCTATCACATATCCCCTTGCATCTGGAAGTCTTGAAGACTCATCTCCTAAACTGGATAAAGTTACACTTGCTATCTATTTAACATAACTTTGATTACCTGAATATAATTTATAACCTGATAAAATTTTAAACTTATAATAAAATTGTCTCTGCTATAGTCGAGACAGACAGCTAGAGATTGCGTTGCTATGGATATTGGTGCTTTATTCATGTGGAGGAGTATGAACAGGGCAAAGGGCTATATCTGGAGGCCACAGGCTATTGGAAGAAGTTGTTATATCCTTAGGTGACAGAAGTGGTCATGAGGGCACAAACTTGGCATTTCATCACAGAAACACAGAATTAAGAGAAAACTTCCTTTGCTAAAGTCAAGCATGCTACTGATGCTAATAAACCAAGATTTTGATGATTATGAAAAAGGAAAAGGGTACAAAAATAGAAGAAAGAAATGCCTGCTTTTTCAACATGGGGCATACGTATGTGTATGTGTAGATGTATTCAGTCAATAAACATTTATTAGGCACCTACTATGTGTAAGGCACTGTGCTAAATGTTGGGGATGCAAAGAAAGGTAAAAAACAGTCCCTGATTTCAAGGAGGTCACAATCTAAGGGGGGAGACAACATGCAAATAACTACGTACAAACAAGCTATATACAGGATAAATTGGAAATAATCAACAGAGGGAAGGCACTAGAGTAAGAGGATTGGGAAAAGCCTTCCTGTAGAAGGTCGGATTTTAGCTGAGATCTGAAGGAAGTAAGGAGGCAGGGATAAGGAGAAAAAGCCTCGGGGCATGGGGAATAGCTAGTGAAAATTAGGTACCCACAGTCTGGAGGTGGCATGTTTTGTTCAAGGAACAGGAAGAAGACCAACATCACAAGAGTGGAGTCCACGGTAGGGTAGGGGGAAAGATAAGGCACAAGGGAATGGAAAGGTGCAGGGAAGGGGGAGGTTATGCAGGGCTTTGAATGCCAAACAGAAAATTGTATGTTTGAGCCGAAGGGTGGCAGGGAGTCAATGGAGTTTATGGAGTGGGAGGTAGGAGTTTGGGGGGGAGGGGATGTGACGTGGTCAGAGCTGCGCTTTAGGAAGATCACTCTTTAACAACTGAGTGGAAGATGTACTGGAGTGGGGAGAGACTTTCGGCAAGCAGACCAACCAGACGGCCTTTGCAACAGTCCAGGCATGAAGTGAAGAAGGCCCACATCAGGGTGGTGGCAGTGACCAGAGGAGAGAAGGGGGCATATACAAGAAATGTCACAAAGGTAGAATTGACAGGACTAGGCGATATATTAGATATGAAGGGTGAGAGAAAGTGAGGAGTTAAGGATGACACCTAGGTTGCAAGTCGAGGTAATTGGGAGGATGGTGGTACCCTTGACAGCAACAGGGTAGTTAGGAGGGGGAGGTTTGGGGTGAGATAATGAGGTCAGTTTTGGACAATTAGAGTTTAAGATGTCTATTGGACATCCAGTTGAAGATGTTCAATAGGCAGTTGAAAATGCAAGACTAGAGGTCTATACTGAGGTTAAGGCTGGATAAGTAGATTTAAGAATGTCAACATAAAGAAAATAATTAAATCAAAGGCATCTGATGAAATCACCAAGTAAAACAGCATAGAGAGAGAAGAAAAGAAGACTCAAGGTAGAACCCTGTGGGACACTTACAGTTAGTAGGAGTGGATAAGGATCCAGCAAAGAAGACTTAAGAAGGCACAGTCAGAAATGCAAGAGGAGAACCGGGAGAGAGTAGTGGCATGAAAACTTAGAAAGCAAAGAGTATCAAAGAGAAGAGGGTGACCGACAGTATCAAAGGCTGTAGGAAGGTCAAAAAGGATGAAGACTGAGAAAAGGCCATTAGTTTTTTTCAATTAAGAGACTGCTGGTAACTTTGGAGAGAGTAATTTCAGTTGAATGATGTCGGAAGTCAGACTGTAGAATTAGGACGAGAGTGAGAGGAAAGGAAATGGAAGATGCTATTGTAGATGGCCTTCTCAAGAAGCTTAGTCCTAAAAAGTGGGAGAGATATAGGATCACATTTATCAGGGAAGGAGGGATCAAGAAATAGTTTTTTGAGGATGGGGGAGACACAGACATGTTTGTAGGCAGTAGGGAAGCAGCCAGTAGTCAGACAGAGATTGAAAAGATAAAAGAGAATGGGGATGATAGAGGGGGAAATCTATTGGAAAAGACAGGATAGAGTGGGATCACTTGTGTATTTGGAGGGAGAGAGGTGAAGAAGAAAACAGTGGCAGAAACTAATCGGGTGATGTGAGATGAGGAGGAGGAGGAGGAGAAAAGGGAGAGCTCTCCATGAATGGCCTCAACTTTTTCAGTCAATTATGAGGCAAGGTTCTCAGCTGAAAGTGGAGGAGGAGGAGGAGCCATAGGAAATTTAAGGAGAGATGAAAAGGTTTTGAAAGGCCTGTATGATGGGTGAGATATTGAGTTCATTAGTGAGATGGCAAAAGGATCGCCAGGGTAGGCAAATGGCACAGCGGATAGAGTACTTGGCCTTAAATCAAGAAGATCTGAGTTCAAATCCAGCCTCAGACACTAGCTGTGTGATGCTAGGTAAGTCACTTAACCCTGTTTGCTTCAGTTTCCTCGTCTGTAAAATAGCTAGAGAAGGAACTGGCAAACCACACCAGTCTGTTTGCCAAGAAAAGCCCAAATAGGGGCATGAATGGTTGGACACAACTAAAATGACTGCCTTCAAATGTCCATGATAGTAAACTGGTGGCTTTTTAGCTAACAGCTGAAATGTTTATTCAAAGAAATTTGGAGCTACAGGGTACAAAATAAGCTTTAGAAACCTCTTTGAAAGATAAATTAAGACTTGAAATTCCTTTACTTATTTAAATAAGAACTGTAGAAAGCTGATTTAAAGGTTATTTTTTAAAAGTTGCTTAATTAAAGAAAAGATTTTTAAAAGTAATGTATGCCACCACAAAGTAAATGATTATAAGAATAACAAGATTTGAAGAAAATTAGTGGGAAAATCTGGAAAATATTGTGTTTGCTAAAACACATAAGCATCACATTATAATTAGATAGGTAAGGGACAAGGCATTTTTTAATGCTATTTAAATTGTGAAAGGGTGACCACAGGTCCAAGATCTAATTCTTTAGCTCTAAAGGCTGGAACCTCAGTGGTCAGCTTAACCTTGGGTTTGCTCACGCTATCAAACTCAGCTGAATCTGATATGAATCAGAAAGCTAATTTATAAATTTGCAATTAGAAACATAACTACTCAGCACACAAGATTCTTGTGCTGGCCTGTCAGCATATTCTCTTCCCAGTACAGAAACTTACTTGGAAAACCAAATTAAGATCAGAAGGTTGCTTGGTGAATAGAGAACATTTAAAAAAAAAATAAAGGAAGTAGAAAGTCCTTAAGAAATACATTTAGCAAACTGTCATAATCCTCAGTTTTAGTGATATAATTGTCAAATAAATAAGGTATTCATAAAAATCACTCATACAACTCTGTCCCTGCCCTCCACCTCCTCCCCCCTCCCCCCCCAGGACAATGCTATGTCAAATCTTCAATAATCAGTGTTTTTGTCCATGTGGATCCTTTCTCCACTGACACAGATTTCAACTAACACATCAGGAGACAGTCTTCAAGAGCTGCTATGGCTTGATGGAATAATATCCAAAAAATAAATATTTGCTGTTGTTGTTGGCTGATCACTTGGTTGAACTTTCCAGAGTTGAACTCAGCTGGAATCACTTTACAGAATTTTGTATCACCTCGTCACTACAGTAAAGCATCAGGCAGTGCTAAAGCCTGAACAATTTTTACTCTACCTTCTCCTTTTTACGTAATACATGATGACCACCACTTTTCTGTTTGTATTTCTCAT